ATTATTTTGAAAGCCTGTAATCACTTGTATCTTCTTAAATACATATTTTTCGAGTTAGAGCCAACTCGAAAAATATTATTGAAGAAGAGCCAACTGTGCATTACTTTTGGGACAATCCTCGTATTATTATTTTGTTAATTAAATACAGGAGTATTTTAAACTACATTAAAAGTAGCGTGTGTAAAATACCCTTACAATGTCTACCTTTTTTATGCAAGTTAATGTTTTCATTCGCAGTGTGTAGCTTTTATTATACAATCTCATTCTACTATGTTCACTTTCTGTATTTATCATTGGAATGTATTACGTATGTTAATCCATTTCTGCTTTTTATGCACATTCAATTTATTCTATGAGAAATACTGGTAAAGCAATCATTTGGAATCTTTTTCACTTGCTGTGAAAAAATTTTTATCTATATAATTAACAAAAATTCATTTGAATACAAGTAAACGAATCATTACAAGAATTTGAATTTAAATTTAAATGGCGAAGATAAGTGAAAAGTAAATTGTTACCAGAGTCTCTTCAGCCATCGGTCATATCAACCGATGTTACCGCTTCCCGGGACGTGGACCCAGAGGTTGGATTTTGGGAAGCGTGTTTGTGTTGTGAAACGATGTTGTTTATAATGCACGTGAATGGAATGGTTGGTGATTGGATGCGACGAATGTGTCGTTGTTTGAACTGTGTGTTTCAGAGTGAGGGATGTTGTTGTTTATGTGGGTTGATGTGAATTACTAAACTTGTGTGAGTACGACAAGGGGAAAAAAATAAAAACCCCTTGTCTTCTTACATCTAGATTAGTAAATTAAATTTAAGGTTTTAGTTTGAATGTTAGTATGACAAGAGGAAAAAAATAAAAAACCTCTTGCCTTCTTATCCTAAATTAGTAAATATAAGTATGACAAGAGGAAAAAACAAACGAAAAAAACCTCTTGCCTTCTTATCCTACGTTAGTAAATTGAAACTAAAACCTTAAATTTAAATGTTGTTAGTATGACAAGAGGAAAAAACAAACGAAAAAAACCTCTTGCCTTCTTATCCTACGTTAGTAAATTGAAACTAAAACCTTAAATTTAAATGTTGTTAGTATGACAAGAGGAAAAAACAAACGAAAAAAACCTCTTGCCTTCTTATCCTACGTTAGTAAATTGAAACTAAAACCTTAAATTTAAATGTTGTTAGTATGACAAGAGGAAAAAACAAACGAAAAAAACCTCTTGCCTTCTTATCCTACGTTAGTAAATTGAAACTAAAACCTTAAATTTAAATGTTGTTAGTATGACAAGAGGAAAAAACAAACGAAAAAAACCTCTTGCCTTCTTATCCTACGTTAGTAAATTGAAACTAAAACCTTAAATTTAAATGTTGTTAGTATGACAAGAGGAAAAAACAAACNTATTAAATATGCGTGTTATAGTTTAGTTACGTAAACGTTAATTAGTATATTAAATAAGCAAATTTTATGAATTCACCTGACCGATAGAAAATATCGTGTATGTATTTTACACGAAACAATCAAATATAGATCTTTCTATATTCAAACTGAGAAGAAGATCGTTCGTTTCAAGAAATGTAGCTGTTTTTATAACAAAAAAAATCTATCAATAGCAACGAGTTGCGTAACTTTCTCCACTGTTGTGAGATTTTATTTAGAAAATAAGTTTATACTTTTAATTATATTATAATAAATAAAATTGTGTGTGGCGCCATCTGTTATGAGAGTTTGTTATATAAACTTTTCATATTTTTAATTATAAAATCGCAAAAGGATTAATTTTGAGTAGAGAAACGAGTCTTATATAAAAAAAAAATTACAAATGCTAGTAACGAGTAAAATCTTCATTAACCCCGACCCTCTTGACATGTCACACTTGACCCCGCTGTATCTCCCTACCCTCTTGACCTTTAACCACCAAAGTTTAATAGCATCAATGCCTCCTATACACAAGCTACCGTATCAAAGTTTATTTCTTAATCATTTCCTCATCCCGAGATATTAACTCTCAGACATCCTATTGTCCCCTTGTTATAGCTTGTGGATAAGAGGCATTGATGCTATTAAACCTTGATGGTTTTGAGTCCTACCAAGGATTCGAACAAGCTTCCTTGGTAGCGACTGGAACGGAATTTTGCTAATAAAATGGCATGTTGTGAGATAAGCCAAATTTTAATATCTACTAGAGGTTTACCCCAGGGAGAACCACTAAGCCTTTTGTTGTTTAATTTATTTATAAATGATCTTCCAGAGATATTTCATTATTCTGATCTTTCAGATTTTTATCTAAATGCCACGGATGCAACTCATCCGTGGCATTTAGATAAAAATCTGAAAGATCAGTAGACTCCCTATAAAACGGATACAGTAGACTCCCTATAAAACGGGTTCATATAATTTGGATTCATATAACACAGCGAAAAAATTGCGACCGTATTCATATAAACACGCTAAAAGAGACTCCTTTATAACGGTAAAACGTCATCGCCGACTCGTGTCACGACAGGATTGGTCGAATCTAGACCAATAGCAGATATTGCACAAACCGTTGAGTTTAAACGAGCAGCGGACCTACTAAAAACCATTTATTATTTAATGTCCATAAAAATTATATTTATATTAATGATGTCTCCAAAGTTCAGCAAATTTTTCGCAGAAAAATAATTTATCAGGAAACACACACGCTCCCATTCAATGCACCACTCCACAACAAAGACAAGCTTAACACACTCCACGACAAAAACAAGCGTTGTCAAACGGTGCACACTCAGTAAGTAATCCTACAATTTTTTGTTTATAGCATAGTTTATATGGATTATTCCCAAAAAACTATACATATTTTGGAAATGTTTAGTCAAATTAGTCTAGAATCGATTAATTTTATGGAAGAAAACCTTTCAAACAGCCGTAGTCCGTAAACTGCATATGTGCCAGGCTGTGATTGGCTCATGTATTTAAGGACTCATAGAACATTAATTTCATAAAGAACGGAACGTATCTACCGTGTTATAGGGGGAGTCGACTGTACTACTAGTAGATTCAAAGTCATCTTTACAGAAGGAACAGTTATCTGATTATATGTTAAGAAATGATCTTTCTATTAAGTTTAAGAAAACAAAGGGATTGGTGTTTTGTAATGGAGGAAGACTTCATAAAACTGATAAAATTTTTATTAATAATGAAGAAATTAATTTTGTTTCTCATTTTAAATATTTAGGATTAGAGTTTTTAATTATCATTTGAATAAAATAGAGAAAGATATATTACAGAAGATAGGTTGCCTTTTGGCATTATGGACAAAAATGAGGATGAATTCTACTAATGTTTAAACTTTTTAATGCTATGTTAACGTCTAAATTAACATATTTGATTGCAGTTTGGGGTTTTGATCTTATTGAAAAAATTGAGAAGATTCAATTAAGATATTTCAAAAGATTATTTAAGCTTGAACATTCAGTGTCTGGTTCTGTTGTAAGATTGGAATTAGGGAAACTCCTCTTCAAATTAACATTTAAAAAAATATTATTGTTGTTTTGGTCTAAGATTATTGATCTTCTTTATCATGATCTTCATTATTGTGTTTATGATTCTTTATTGAAGAAAATAAATTCATGAAAGAGAAATTGGGTCTTGTCAATTAAAAATATTTTTGATAATTTAGACCATCCTTTTGTATTTTTTGAATAATTCACAGCTACAATTGAGAAGTTATTTGTGTGATATAATATAAACTAGATGTGATCAATTATGGAATCATGATGTAACTTACATTTCACTTCAGCAACATAATATTTATGAAAGAAGTAACAAGTTGGCAGACAGCCAATTACTTAAATTATAACATTAGATTTTCTACGAAAAGTTTACTTATGCAACTATGTCTTAATAAATACCAGATTATGCCAAGTGGTTGGTATATAGATATTTCTAAGGGGCATTCTTGCCCATATTGTATTACTGACCACAATTGTATACTAACGCATACTTTTGCGTCATGTCCAGTTTTATATTTGTTACAGAGAGAAGTTCTCACTGACAATTTTTTGGAGAATTATTTATATGATGAAAATGTGTTGAAGATAATGTTATATAAATTGTATAATTTTTTTGTCAAATCCTTGTACTTTTTATGTTAAATGTATTGTTTAAGCACAGTCAAGAGACTATTGTGCGACTGTTTATTTATTAATTAATTTTGTTTTATTTTCTCCCTTGTATGGAAGTACTTGTACTTGTATCAATAACAAATAAATAAAATTTTGATGATTTAAGATATTCATAAATTTTTTCTTATTCACTTTATTTTTGAATTCTTATAAAAGCTATTATTTTCTATTATTTTCACACTATTTATCTATAAATTCTGTTAAACCTTCTACTTATGAAACTTTAATATTAAAATCTAATATAATATATAAGTTGATTGAAATAATTTTTTATGATATAAATTATTATAAATTAATTTTAATATAAATTTTTAAGCATTAAGCTGGATTTAAGTTCGTGTGTGTGACAAGATGACATCATTTTGATGCATTCTCACATATTACGAAGTCTTCAGAACAGAAGCTATTAAATATATTAGCCTTTATGATACAATGTTAAGTTCGTTGTTGCCATTTTCTTATATTGGTAGACATAATGAGCATTAAGCTTTTTGTCTGCTCAAGCAATTATTGATTTGAACAGCCTGAATATTGTGAAATGACATAATTCACAACTTACTGATGAGAAGCCAATGTGTGACTTATGGAAAATGAGTGGTCATTCAACCCCACATTTACCATAATTTTTAATTTGAATTACTGCCAACAAACATTGGTTCTAGTCTGATAAAGGACCTTCAGAGATCCTTTTGCAATGTGACGAATGCATACTTGATTTTGTTAGTCAAAACAAATAATTTTATTTACAAAAGCAATTTGACTAGCAGAAAGTGGAAGCCTGATTATCAGAATTCATAACATAAAAATTGTCAGGCTTATGAAAGAGTATAATTAAAAAATTTTTTTATTTACAGGAGGAACAACTTAGAAACCATCACAGAATGTTTCATAGTAATCAATGTTACATTTGCAAATATTGTGGCCAGACTGTCAAATTACGACAATCCATGATAAGGCATCTTAAAGAAAAACATAATGAACATGAGAGTGAATGGAAAAAGGCAGGTGTTATAAATTCAATGATAATCACGAAAAAAAAGGGTTCAGAATTGCCCAGTGAGTCGAAATTACTTTCAGAAGGAGATGATAGTCGAGGTAATAGTTTTAATAAAATAAAAAACTATATGATATAATAAATTAGTTTTTAATTGTCAATCATAAACAGTGTTGCCACCTTTTCAAAATCGCTGACCTAGACATTTTAAAATTAGGATATGGATATTATATTTAGAAATAAAAACTTAGATTTTTTTTATTGTGAGTAGAAAATAAATATATTTTTTTTTATTAGAAGGTAAATATATACATGATACATTATTAAAGTAATACAATAATCACATGTGGCATATCTAAAAATATTAAGTTACAAGAGATACATTGTATCTGATACAATATATAATATAATATGAGGTACTATACATGCAATGTCATTTTACAGCCAAGAACTGAACAATGTGCATGCCAGTTTTAAACCAGTTAGGGACTGGTGATGGAACAAACCCAATATTTGCAAGTTAGAATTTTAAAAGTACATTTTTTTGTCATTCTTAGCCTAGGGATAAGTTTGGGTGGGGGTGTAAAGTTAGTCTTTAACCGTTAAAATAAAATACTCACAAATATTTTTATAAATTTATTTTGTTTCATTATAATTTCATGATTTATACAAAAACTGGACAAATTAATAATTAATCCAGACCACAAATTTAAAAACCGGTCTGGTGGCAACACTAATCATAAATTAAATATTATATATGATAGAAATAAAATTTTCTCATTATTATTTCATTTTTCTTTGAGTGCTTATTTAGAAATTAACAATAAATTTTACAAAATGAATTAATAATAATAATAACAATAACAACTTTCAGATAAATAGGTATTTTTTTAAGCTGATAGCTTAAAAAAATACCTATTTATCTGAAACAACATTAACACAACTGCCAAAGTGATTATAACAAGAAAATTTACTGTATTTTTTTCTACGGGTATTACAAGATATAGCAGATATATATATATATATAGTAAAAATTGCTTAGGCAACAACCGGCAAAAATTTCTGGCATGGAATAGTTTATCCATAGAGTCTTCATATAAGTTACCTGTAGGTATTTCAGAATAGGTATTTAGCTATCAGCTTAAAAAAATACCTATTTATCTAAAATAATGGTAACTCAATATTGAGATTAGTTGTAAGATATTTCCATTTAATCCTTGTTTTTGATTGTTTAAATATTTTTTACAGGAATAAAATCTTCATTATCAACATATGCAAATCAAGGAGGACAAAAAGTAACATGTAACCAAATAATAAACAAAACAGTGTCGTCAGATGTTTGTGAAAAATCAGTGCCTTTAAATAGTGAACAATCTGGTGATAAAAACAGTGGACAGATTATTTCATCTTCCTGTACTGCTGATACAGAAGAACCAAATAATCATGTAGGAGAAGAAAGTTTGCCAAATGTTTACTCAAATGAGAATGAACATATCACACATTCAGTTGATAACTGTAATGATTTGGATTCTGAAAATAATTTAAAGAAAATACAGACAGTTGGAAATTCAGTTCAGAAATTCAAAAGTATGAGAGAAGAATGTGAAGTTGATTTACAAACAGAATAGATCATTTCAGAAAGTCATTAAGTATCAGATAGTTTAATAATGTGAAACTAAAAGAAATAATTGTTTGAAATTAAGATTCAATATTTTTACCAAATCATTATTTATATAATTTAATTTGCATTGCTTATTTCAAGTTACTTCAGCATTTCTTGGAATTAAACAAAAAATAATAAGCAATTTTGTTTTATATTGAAATTTGCTGAGTAAATTTCCAAAAGTATTTCAATCATTTCAACAATTATTCTGAATAAGATAAAGTATACTATTATTTGTAATGATGTGTAATCAGATTTTCTTTGAAAATTTATACAGTTTGGTAGCACTCACTAAATAAATAAATATGGATGCAAATTATATATAAGAGTAGGCTTACCATAATATTTTTTTTTCAAACCAGGACAATTTTGAGAAAATACTCACAACAGAAAATAAAGCCTACTAGGATAAATCTTATGATTAAGGCTGTATAAAAAGTTAACAAAAAATGAGTTAAAAGCAATTTTTAATAACTCAACTGAACATACCTTATTATTAAGACGTTATTAATATTTATCACTAGTGTGAACTTTCTTTAAAAATTCTTTGTCACTTAAATCAGTACTTTTAAAGTATGATAATATATTTGAGGAAGTTCCTATTGCTATTAGGCTTGCTTTATGTTTTGCACATTTCAAGTGATTTCTAATGTCCAAACACCCATGAGTTACTGAAAATTCTGAAAAATACAGTTCATATTTCACTTCGTTAATATGATCACAGACTTCTTTCAAAAACAGATAATCCTTTTTTCAATATTCAGTAAACACATGGTTTCTTTTTGGCATTTTGGAGATTAAATTAATATGATGTACAGTAGCAAATGCCAACTAGCAATTTGAATTTGAACAAGATAGGACAAACGTGGCCAGTGTAAGTTTCAATGTTGCCAACTCTAATTGAAACANGGGAAAAAAAAATAAAAAACCTCTTGCCTTCTTATCCTAAATTAGTAAATATAAGTATGACAAGAGGAAAAAACAAACGAAAAAAACCTCTTGCCTTCTTATCCTACGTTAGTAAATTGAAACTAAAACCTTAAATTTAAATGTTGTTAGTATGACAAGAGGAAAAAACAAACGAAAAAAATTTCTTGCCTTTTTATCCTAGGTTAGTAATATCCTTCAGAAATAGCAAAGAAAAAAGTCGTTCACATCTCTTACGAAGCGACGCTTTTTCCTTTCCATCTTTGCCCACACCGAACGAGAGGATCCCACTCGTTGGAAAAGGGAGGAATGATCGAAACATTCCTCCCCTCCCAGTGCGTCAAAGATGATATCGTCAACATGGAGACATTTCACCTTTCGGAACACGTCTGAATGGCGAAATGTCTCCTCTCCGTTCAACGCGGAACAGAGAATGCTGTCGACATCCGCTATTCCCGAAGGCGATCCCGTGAAGGAAGAACCCCTTCCGCAATCGATGGTTCCTCTCCCCGCTCAAAGGGGGAAAAGTCCCTCTCTTCATCGATTGCGGAAGGAAAACGCCCTTCACACTTCTTCGTCTTCTTGGGCCGCAGCCAACGCCAAAACCGCCAGCTCTTCATTCTGTAAAGAAACAAAAAGTATATATAGCATATATATATATTAATGGGATTCGGATATACTTAACGCAGAAAAAGTACAAGATAATACTCACGACAGAGCTCGCGCTAGATCCTACCGGAAATTGCTAGAACGTTCGAACTGCATTTGCAGTAGAGACGACCGACCCGGAACGAATAAACTCTCTTACGTGTAATTTGTATTTATTTGTACGTAAAGTAAAGACACGCCGCACGTAGCCATGCGCAAAAGACACTCGTACTCGATCTCAAGCCCAAGTCGTAACAAGTGTTTCGTTCTAGAGCAATTTACCCTAACGTGTGTCACCTAAACGCAACGACGGCATTTAAGAGAGTTTCGTGAGAAGAAATTCCGTACGAGAGTCGACGAAAACACAAGACGAACGTTTAAGTAGCACAAAGCATTTGCAGAGGGTTACGTAAGTGTGGAAGATGGACTGCACTAATTTCTAAAGTTGCTAATTTCAAATATCCTTTTTCCTCTGTTTTTGAGTCAAGAGCTAGTATAAATACTACGTATAAGAGACTTGTTCGATAACTCGCCGAGAACTTTTTTTTGCAAGAACCTCTTATACAAGAAAATCGTCTTCAGAAAGTAAGTATTTTTATTTAAAAGTTTGTCTTTGACAAAAAGTTTGACTTAGAAATAACTAGATAAAAGTAAATCTTCGAAAAATTCACAAGTTTAACATCAAAATATATAAGAATCGATTTAAGGAGGTAGTAAAATTTGATGCAATGAACAACCATTTAGACAACTATGTGGATGTTTAAAATGTCTTTTAGAGGTTTAGTAAAGTTCATTGACTTATTATTCTAATATATGCATAACTTTTTTCGTATAACTTTTTTTTTT